TACCTTTGCCACCAGAGGGAGCCAAAGAGCGCCAATGAATCCAGCTCCCCTCTGTCAGATTCATTCTCCAACCTTTTTATTGAGTTAACGTTTTGGCATCTCTTCTGGTTGTAATTTTTTTTTTTCATGCCACTATTTCAGTTTAGGAGGTAAAAATAATAATGATGGCCAGACATGGTGCATGCCTGTAATCCGAGCAGTTGGCAGGCAGAGGCATGAGGATTGCCATGAGTTTGAGGCCAGCCTGGGCTAGATAGAGCACCAGCCTGAACTATACAGTGAGACTGTGTTTCAAAAAATATGAATACCAAAAATATAACGTCACCACAGCTCAGGGAAAAAGGTGCTTGCCTCATTGCATTCAATATAATTATTCTCTCCAAAACACTGTTGGCAACAATTCCTTTGAAAGTGTTGTTACTGATAGATCATACTGTCTTCTGTAATTTTGGAGAGATTACTATAGTTCATGATATTCTTTAGGAAAGAAGTTATGGTCCTGCATACCTATGGTAATCAGAGATATAGCAGCTTGGGTATTTTTTTTTTTTTTTACAAAATCTCAAAACAAGATTTTAGGAGAGTAACAATGGTTAGTACATTGTGTATTGTTACTGCCAAAGTAGTTTCTCATATTACAAGATATAGACAAGAAATAATAAATAAACAATATAGGTACAAACCTCTGTTTTTTTAAAGTAAACAGAAAATGGAAATATACTTTTTAAAGTTTCTAATACTAGGAGAAGATATCATACAATGTCTTTTAAATAAATTGTAAGTCAAAGATATAGTATAAATCTTAGAACAAAAATTAAGATTAAGCAATATTCAGAAAATTAAATGTTTCCAAACAATTGAACTCAGAAAAAGTTTTCATGATAGCAGAGAAGTACTAGAGCAAAACATAAGATAAATACTAGAATGGCAAGTAAATAACCAGCACTTCTAACAGTTTGAGGATAGGATATCGCACAAAGTTCTAGTGTGTTGTGGACATGCACAATGACCGTGACAGTTACTGGTGGCTAGGCGTCACTTGTGGAACTGAGCTACAGCTATTTCTTTGAAATCCACCCTGTAGACTCAGGTGGAATCATGACTCATAGGGTGGAAGAGAAGTCTATTTGTAGGGTGTGCTGATGAAAATATTCTGCTGCTGAACACAAAGGAATAACTAAAAGACTACTATTGTATACCTCTTATTCTCCTCTGTTTGCCCTATTTGACAGGTTCTTTCCATTCTCATTCATGGGGCTGTGATCAATTTGCTCCCTCTCTAGAACTTCATTTAGTAGTCTGTGTAGGCTTGGCTTTGTCATCATGAAATTCCTTAGTTGTTCTTTGTCATGAAAATATTTCACTTCTCCATTATATTTGAAAGATAGTTTTGCAGGATAGATCAGTCTGGGTTGGAATTTGTTTTCTTCCAAGACTTGAAGTACTTTGCTCCATGTTCTCCTTGACTTGATGGTTTGTGAAGAAAAATCTGCCGTTATTCTGATGGGTTTTCCTTTAAATGTGATCTGTTTCTTTTCTTTAGCGGCTTTTAGTATACTGTTCCTATGCTGAATTTCTGGAATCTTGATTATTATGTGTCTGGGTGTGGTTTTCATTGGATTGATACTATTTGGAGTTCTATATGCTTCGATGACATCTTCGAATGTCAGATCGTTGCCCCATATTTGGGAAGTTTTCTGCTATTCTGCCCATATTCTTTTTATATCATTTGTATTGACTCCTTCCTTTTCATTGATGCCTATTAGTCTCACATTGTTCATCTTTGCATCGTCTTGCAGGTATTGAATTATTTTTTCCTGCATCCTAGTTGTTTTAAAGAGATCTTTTCTTACATTTTCACTAGCTGCAATGGTGTCTTTCAGGTCAGAAAGCCTATTTTCACTTTCACTGAAATGGTTTTGCCAACTTGTGATTGAGGTTTTAATTTCCTGTATATCACTTTGAACCTGTTTCATAGATTCTATTTCTTTCCTAAATTGTTTATTCAGGGGTTCCATCATTTTTACATTCTCCTCTATTTTTTTTATCAGTGTATTCTTTAGAAGCACTTAGTACTTCTTTGATTATAGTTACCACTACATTTTTTAGTTCTGAAATTATTTCTGATCTGATTTCTTCTATACCTTTCTGCAGTTGATTCTTTACTGTCAACCCTATTATTTCAGAGATATCTGGTGTGTGATTTCCAGTTTCCTCAGTGCTAGTGTCTTGTGCATTTGTAGTGGGTGAACTCGGGGCCAGTCATTCTGTTTTTGATGAGATCTCAATCACACCTCATAAAGATACCCAGCCTCACCTTGCTTTTGAGACATCACAGGAATTCTTATGTTCCATGTTCCTCACCTCATTTGTGGGTGCTTCCTTTGTCTATAAGGCATTGAGAAGCCAAAGTCAGGTTTGATTTGCTCAGGAGTCATCTCAGCACATAGGTTGGGCACTCACAGCATGACCACTACGACCAAAGCACAGGCAGTGGGCTGCTAAGCACAACCCAGGGCTTTGCAACCAGACAGAAAGTCTTGGTCCCATCTCCCCCATCCCTGCAGTGATTCTAGTCAAGCCATTTTTTAAAAATCTTTCCTAAACTTTAGCTTTCTCAACTGGATTGTGAGGCTAATGCTGCCTGTCTTACAGCACAGCACAGAAGACTGAGAAGAACACACAGGAAGGATTTTGCAAATAGTTGCTCTCTGCCTTTCCTAACCACAAATTGCGACTGCTATCACCAGTCCTTATGTGAGTTGGCCCAGGCCTGCCCCACCTTACGGTTGAGAGCCGATCAGCTTTGGTCCTACATCTTACTCAGATTCCGCTACACTCAACTCTTCCTCTAGAACCCTCGCAGTCCTCACCCACACTAAGCTCTGAACTGGGTGGGCTCCTTCCTGCTGCTGCTCTTGGTGGAGCACATGAGCACACACCCTCACCCTGGCCATCCTAAGGTCTCTGTGTCCTTACAATACAGTACAATGCTGTCACACGCCACCACAACTGTAATGTTACCCTCTAGCTCAGAGTTTACTACTGTTGTTATTCTGAGCACCTTCCAGGAACCAGGCCCTATAAGAAGGCAAGCATCATCCAAGCAGTCGAGCAAAGAGCTTTATGTGGATAAATTCATTTGATTCTCATTATAATCTCATTATAGTACCTGTAAAGTAGGTACTAATTATATATTTATGTAAAAATGAGGAAATTGAGAATCAGAAATGCTATGGAACATTCTCCAAGTCACACAACTAGTAAATCCACAACTGGGCTCGCAAGCCAGTGCTCATGGCCATCACACCCTGCTGCTTTTCATCACACCCGCACCCCTCCCCTCCTTCCTCTTCCACTGATGTGCCCCGTGCAGCACCCCACACTGTGCTCTCTATACTGAAGCCCCTCTCACAGGGCACTGCGTTTGATTTACCTGCCCATATCACATTGGACTAGGAGCTCCCTGGGGGCACGGACTGTGTGCTATTTTATTCCCACATGTTCACTGGCTGAATTGTATTGGACTTTGCTTGCTAGTTTCCTTATGCTCTCTAGTCTTACTATTTGTTTTGTGACAGCTCTAGAATCAACATTAGCCACTAATACTTTGGTCTGAAATGAGGTTTATGTACGCATCTGCACACCTCTGTCTCTGTGTTATGTGTTTGCTATGCTATCACCTAAAGTAACTAGTTTTCCAAACACTTGTCTACCTCAAAACCTTTTCACCCATCACATTTCTCTAGTTTTCTTTACTCTGGAACTTTCAACAGCCCCCTTTTTTTATCTTTATGACTTAGGTATTTTGGTGAATGCCATTTGCTGTAACATCAGAATGTGACCCCTTTAGCATTTGCCTGATGCTGCCTTATGAGTAGATGCAGGCCGTGCACCTGCAGCCACAGTTACTCCTTGGCTGCTGCATCTGGAGGCAGGAAGCGCCTCTGCCCGTCTGAAGTGAATTCTGATCACTCAGTCAAGACCTTGTCTGGTTTCTTTCCTGTATATTTAACATTCCTTTCCTTTTGTAACTAATGAATAGTCTGTAAAGAAACATTTAAAATAATGTGTGTATCCTGTTACTCATCAGAATTTCCTCCTTGATTCAAACACTGATTCCTGCCTGTCCCCTTTCTTTAATACGATGACTGCAAAATGATGATTTTGTACTTTAATGTAATGCAATTTAAGCACATTCGGTACAGGAAGAGAAATGGCATAAAGGACACAATAAACATCAGATGTCCTTCTTAAAGCAGCTCAAGCCTCTCACTTTATGGCCAACACAGAATCTATTAACAAGCACAAGTCTCTCTTGATTAAATGACTGCCAAAGTTGGCTTCTCTACGAGACCTGTTATGGTTGGCCTCAAGTTATGGCTGGCCTACAAGGCTTCATGTTCCTAGGGGCTTTTGGAAGAGGATTTTGGACAAGGGGAGCATGCTAGCTTATTTCCTGTTATGAGGTGGGGCCTGCTTGGGGTAGACAGCTTGCTTGGTGACCTGGAAGAGTGCACATCCATCCCGGGCTCCTCCCTTCTCTCTGCTTCTGGGCTCCCACTATGTGAGCAGCTTTCCTCTACCTGACCCTTCCACCATGACATGTTGGCCTTGGAGCCCAATAAGCCCATCCTCCATGCGGCTTTGAATGCATTGCTTTAACTACAAGCTAAAAGAAACCTCTCTGGAGTTGCAGGTCTTGGATATTGCATCTCAGCAATGAAAAAGTGACTGAGACATGCTCCTATGACCTTGTGAAAAACTCTGGCGCCACAGTTGTTCCTATACAGAAACTGTAGAGGAGGTAGTAGTGGTATTTTGAAATGAAGACTCTATTTCTTTTTTTTTTATTAGAAGACAATGCAGATATTATGAAATGATACTGAGTCTTTAATATAAGATGGAAGGACAGAGGTCCAAAATAAGTGACATAGAATCTTTCAGTGTCAGGACTGGGGAGATAGCTCAGTGGCATAAGTGCCAGCCTGGCAGGCACAAGGTCCTGAGTTTGATCCCGGTACAAAAAAAAAAAAAAAAAAAGAAAAAAGAAAAAAGAAAGAAAAGAAAGAAAAAGAAACAAAGAAATTATATTACAGAATCTTCAGTGTCAGCACTGTAAACCTTCTTCAGTCCCCATTCATGATCCCTGAATATTCTTTCTGATGTTCAACCAGCTTCCGGAATACTCGATATTTCTTGTCATAGTATCTATGGAGAATGACAGATATGTTGAGCAACCTCAAGTCATCTCTTCTAGTTATGCCCATACCTCCCAGGGTTTGAATGCTCATAGCATCCTGGTGATGGACTCTTGCATGCTTAAAGCCTGTTCCCTATGAGCTACCCAAAGCATGATTAGCTCTATTTTTGAGATAAGAGCACTTTCTCACACACAAATATCCAAAGTAGTACAGCCAAAAACTAGTGGAACCAGAATTCAAACTCAGAATGATCTGACTTCAAAGCCTGCACTGTGTGCTAAAAGGCCTGAGCTTAGTACAGACCTTTTCACACTCCCAGCTTCAATCCATTTTTTCTTGTATGACTGGACACAGGTGACCATCATCATCTGACACACAAGCCTCAACCATTGAGTCTCTATCCTGGAGATCCTACACGTAGATAGCCTCGTCAGACCACTTTATCTAGGAGTAAAAGCCCATGGAAACTGGACTTAGTGCCTTTCTGGTCACTGGGCCCTGCCTGCAGACATCTGCCTGTCCTCTCCTGCCGATGCCTAAGGTGAGACACCTGTGAGAACTCCTGCTGTGCACAAATCAGACAGCAGAACAGCTCGAACTGCCCTGACATCAGTTCTGAAAGCAATGAACATCAGCAAATAACCCTGGCATCCTATACCTCTGTCCTGGCGCCTCTGCGGGGGAGCTCCCTGGGTGAGAGACGAAGCCATTTTAGCACAGCGTGGTAGACTCGAGGATGCACTATGAATAGGTCCTCCTGAGGGAGTGTGGGGTGAGCTGGTGCCCTTGGGCAGAGAGGTTGGTGGAGTGATGCAGATATGCATAGGACTCCTCCTATCACACATTTCTAGCTTAGGCATTCTAGACACATCTGGCCACTGTGGCCAAACTCATGGCTAAGAGGGAGGCTCTGCACCAAGCCTCTGCGTCCCAGAGTAGCCCGTGACTAGCTGGGTGACCTGGACATGGTACTTAATCTCCCTGTGCCAGAATTTTCTCATCTGTAACTGGGATAATTATAGGGTCTACTTCAACAGAACTGCTGTGTGAATTCAATGAGGCTGTACACACAAAGCAGGCAGAACACCATTACTCGTGTTATGGTGTGTGTCAGAATTTCTTTTCTTTTTGAGGTTGAATAATACTTTACCATTGTGTATGCCATTGTTTTCCTCAAACGCTAATGCACTGCAGGATATGGTTACTCTTATGGCTGTAGTTACTGTGAACAATGCTGCTGTGGACATGGTACAGACAGCTCACGACCTTGCTTCCAGTTACTCTGCATATTTCACAGGGGTTGAAATGGTGGATCATTTGTTAGTTTTAGCTGTAATTTCTTTTTGAAGAACTACCAGGCCACAATTTTTTCCACAGCAGCTGTGTCACTTCACAGCAGTTGCCAGTTTCTCCCCCTCACTATTACTCTGAGGTGTGGCTGTTTCCAAAGAGGCCAGCCAAGACACGAGGGAAGCACCTTCCAGGAGCTGTGAGCGGCTCTCCCTGATGTGATGCTGAATAACCCCTCAGGTGCTTCTTGCATGTATGCATCTTCTTTAGAGAGACGTTCACTTAAGACCTTTAATCATTTTTGAATTGTATTGCTATGGGTATTCTGTTGCTAAGGTTTTGGAATTCTTTACATATTCTGAATATGAGTCCCTATCAAATATATGATTTACAAATATTTCCTACCATCCTATGCACTACCTTTTTAATTTATTGATAGTGTTTCTAGTGCATAATTTTAACAGATATTTTTAGTGTTCTACAGTCATATAAACTGCTGGTCCTTCAGATGGAATTTGGGGTCCTCCTAAACATTTCCTTACTGAGCTACACATATCAGATGAGGTCCGATGCAGTCTTGGCTTCCTAAGTCATCTGACTCCGCTGTCTTGCAAATTCTTCCCCATGCAGTCAGTTGCTTCTGTGTGGTACAGACAGAAGTAAACGTCCCACACAGTTAACTAAACACGAGGGAACAGGCGCCTCATCCTCGCTGCAAATCTTAGGCTGGCCGGCAGGTGGTGCTGCAGCATTGCATTTGTGGCTTCTCCGGTTCCAGAGAGCAGCCCGCTGCCAGCAAGGAGCTGGATTCTTCCAAAAGCTTAATGTGGGATTGAATGAACTTAAAAACAGGCTTCCCCCAAGAGTCCCAAAACGGGGAGGAGGAAGTTATAGAATACCAGTTTCTTATTTCATAAACAAGAGTTGGTCCCCGCTTGAGGCCCCTGGTCCTCGAGTTCCCCTATGGGGTCTGCGCCTGGCCTTGGCCCGGATCAGCAGCAGCCCCACTTGAGAAGCAGAAGAAAATGAAAAACAATGGACTATTTCTTGCAGACATTTCCAATTTTGTTAACTACTGAACATGCTTCATTGAACCTGCACCTTGGCCTGACCATTACATGAGGTGGTGGGATTTGCTTTCAAGTCTTTTTTTTTTTTTTTTCCTGGAAGCGGGTGCTGAACTTAAGCCCTTGTGCTTGCCAGGCAAGCAATTATTCTACTGAGCCATCTCCCTGGCCCATGCTTTTAAGTCTTAACCTCAAATACTTTCCCAAATTATAAAGGCACTTGCAAACTACACATCTTCAAATGCACAATTGGTGACTTAATAGGAGTCTTTTTCATCTCTAATGTGGCTTGCTCCAAAGTCTTCTGTCTGGCCTCTCAAGTGCTAACCATACTCCCTAGAATGGACCCTCTAGGTGGAATTTCCTAAAATATGCATTCGACTAGTGCTGCCTCAAACCCAGAGTCTGAGTTCCAATGTAAGATGTGGTCCAAAGTCAGTAGCACAGCCCTTTGTAAGCTGATGTTCTTCTGTCTCACTTGATGCCACCCCCCATACTCTGTTCTGTGAAATTATGACACATGGGAACAACACAGTGTGCTGTTCCACTCCCATAACTCTGCATGTTATTCCTTTTTCCAAGACTGCTCTTCTGTTGGCAGCCTAACCAGTCATTTTACAGTTTAAACATTAAATGTTAGCTAAGACTTAGACTACTCCTAAAGGCTTTCTCTCACCCCTATATGGTCACATTTCTTTCCTATTTGAGCTATTTTGTCTCCTGATAATACTTCTATGGCAATACTTAGTCCTTTATTTTGAAGCGATCTATGTGTGTAAGTCTGATTGTGTCTTCCTTTCCTCGAAAACCTGCCTGGAGCTCAACATAATGACTAGAATATAGCAGGGGCTCAATAGATAAATATTTTGGTGAATTGGGATTAAGTGTTGACCAGGGTCATTTGGTAGCCCCCAATTCCAAGTAATACAAAGGGTAAAAGAATAGATAGATGCTGCGGCCCAGTCGTGAGAATATATATATATATATATATATATATATATATATCTGTGTTTTAGAGCGGAGAAGACCAGGTTGCTACTACTAATGAGCCAGGAAAGCAGAACAATGGTCTAAAATTCCAGCAGCTTGCATTGACCTCAACTCTGGCCCTATCTAGCTATGAATCTTAAGCAAACAACAGTGGCCTCTCTATTTGGGAATTAGTTTCTCAACTATTAAGTAAAAGGACTGGATTAATTTCCAAATTTATTCCAGATCTGTAGCAACATGCATATTTATGTTTTCATTCTTTAATACTGTGCATATAAAAAGTACAAACTTACTTTTTATCTTCATGTCTTGGGAACACAACCTTCCCAACTTTACTCATTCTTGTCATTGCCTCCTGTGAAATGGAAAACAATGAAGACAGCTGAGTTGAAAAGCTACAGCTAAACACAGGCAAGAATTCACTTCCCTTTAAGATATTCAGTTAGTCCAGTTTTTACACTTATTTTTCCCTAGCAATAAGAATGAATCCTATGAATATTTAAGTTAGCATCTGTGACCACACATCCTGAGCTTAATAAATAGCTGTGTTTTGAGGTCTCCAGGGCATAAACTGCCCAGAAGGCAAAGCATTTCTGCGTTGTTTCCAGGATTCAGTTGGAGTAATTTCCCCTCCTTGTTCCCTGAATGCAGGGGCAGAAGAAGGCAGGAAAGCTAGCCCCTGAGTAAACTGGGAGCCTGGCTACAGAAAACAGGAATTGAAGGGAACCACTTTGTGCCCTGCTTCAGGATGAACTCATTACAATCTCTTTTCTCCTTCAGCTCTTGCCCCAGTTGTGTCTAAAGTTGTGAGTACAAGACCTCAGTGCTGAATCTGAACCAAACTTAGGAATGTGACTCCAGGAGACTTTTGTCTTTACCTTGGGGCCATCATGAGGTGACATGTTACTGAATCTGGGAGAACATGGTATGCCGTGTACTACAAGACTGACTATAGATTGTCCTGGCTCCTTTGGGTCACATTTTCTTGGCAATCTGCCAAGCATGTTCAAGCCATGAGAAAGTTAAGGGGGACAGAGTGTGCCCAACCTTGGAAACCAGTAGTCCAGTCACAGAAGGGAAGATTGCAAGCAACAGCACAATAGAACTCCACAAAACAATCTGTGCTTTAGGAATAGCTGTTAAGTTCTTAATTTTCAGGACATAGTCATCCTGGGGTCACATGTGGAACTTCTTATTCTACCCATTTATTAATTGCTCACCATTTATTGGACAGCGCTAGGGATACAGAACTGTGTGAGACATATTTTGTCCTGGAGAAACATTCAAATAATGGGGTGGGGGGCACACGAAAAGCTGATTACCCTATAGGATGTGAGAGCCCCTTGGGTATTTTCGAAACATATCTACATGTCCCCCCCTGAGCATCTGTTCTAACTTTCCACAACAGAGTGATTGAATTGCATATGATGAGCTACCTTCTGATATGCCAAGTATGGACTGGCTTATGTGTTCTTTATTTATCCTTTTCTCTCCTAGTCCTAACCAAAATGTAAGCTACATGGGGACAAAGATGTAGTATGCCTGTTTATTGTTGAATTTCATACCTAGACTATTCATAAAGCACTGGATGCCTTCAGGATACCATGCATAACACTGAATACACAGAGGCAGATGTAAAGACTTCTTGGGCCTTTCACCAAGTTGCTCACTAAACAATGGAAAAGCTGTTTGTTCTGATCAAAACAGTATGATGTACTGCTTTTCAATAATTGTGCAAGGTGTAGGAAACCTGATAGATTCCACTCCTGTAGGGTGTAGTGGCCATTGTCCCTTAAGGACAGCACGAACATTCTGAATCAGTTATCTGATTTCCTATTCCCATTCAGTGGATGTGAAAGTGCTGGTGGGAGATCAGAGATGGGAACAGAAGCAAGCACACCGACTGCAGGAAGAGATGGCAGTTGCAAGTAGAGGGTTTAAAAATAATGAGAAATTATGTAAGCAAACCAAAAGGACAAGACAACAACTACAGAAGGGCTAACTGGCACCACTTGCATAAAGGGAAAGAAGGCAAATGCATCTTACAAAGGTTGCTTTGTAAGAGCTCTGCTGACCCTGCCAGGTGCCAGAATAGGTTCCTTCATGCACTGAGCTCTGATCCCCAGTGCAAGCTCTTCTGATCTTAAGAAAAGATTTGAAGGTCTCAGTAATCCTCATCATCAGCTCAGCTACCCATTCTCATTTTCTCACTGCCTCTTCCTCAGCTGGGCTTTCAAGGACCTTGTCCCTACTGTTCCCTCTAAATCCTCAAAATGCCCCTGGGACATGGCTGTCTGGGCAGTGCCTGGGCCCCAGACTGGAGACAGCACCCCAAGAATGTCTTCATAAAGGCACCTTCTGTAAATGTCAGTTTCCTGCCCATGTAACAGAGGTATGGGCAAATGGCAGATGCCAAGGGATTCTCTCTTTCTTCACATTACCTTTGGTTGTTTTAAAAATAAATAATTGAAAAACAAATACTTACATTAGAGATTCAAACAATTGTTAGGCCTATTTTGTTTCTGAGAAAAATGATTTCAAAATTAAATTTTGGTCTGGGACAGTTTCTGACACTTTTTCCTGATTCATTCCTGCTACCTGTGTCCTTCTAGATGAATTTCTTTTTAAGATGGAGTTATTTATTCCTACAGTAACTCATGCTCCCACCTACCAGAGCATTTGCACCAAGATACCATGAGTTTGTTAACACATCACTTTCCCCAGCGAGACTGTGAACTCCTTAAGGCAGGAATTGTTATAATTATTTTGACTGCTAAACTCAGCATCTGGTATATCATATGCACACAGGGAAAGTCGGCAGATCAGAGGAACGTAAGGATCACACACATGACAGAATGTTAAAATAGAAGCTTTGGCTAAGACCTAAAGATGACAGATATAAGACACCAGAGTGAGCTGGAAACAAACCACCATGAAGAGGGTATAGGACCTCTAAAGAATCAGCTCTTACACCTCCCTGAGGCTTTAGCACAGAGAGGACTATGAGTGACTCCTGCTAGAAGAGACAGGCTGACTGGCAACTCCAGCTGAAAAGAGATAGTGATGTCCTGGGGTCACCTAGCCCTGCCAGGGCCTTCTGGTTCCCAGAGCAGGGCTGTTTCCTATGATCAGAAGATGACATTTAAGCCAGGTTGTTCTGGGCTACCTTAGCTCCTCTCCAATATGGGCACCTATTGAAGATGGAGGTAAACAAATAGATTGCTAAGGAATTACGAGGAAATTACAGTTTGATAGAATAAAGAAAGGCATTAATGAGGACAAAGATACCATAAGTGAGAGGTTTTCAGAAGTGGTGTCTCCAAAGACATCTGTGACATGACCTTATGAGACCAAGAGCTGGCTCTTTGCACCTAGCAGGGAAAGGTTTGACCCTTTCCTAGAGGGTCCATTTACAATAACACTGTTCAGTTAAGGCCTTTCTGCACCCTTAACCTCGCTTCCCTTATGCACCTCCAACCACCTCAGGGGAACAGGAAAAGAAGCTATTACTCTGGAGAGGAAGTAAATGAAAAAGAAAGAAGAATCTAATAACAGCTACCTCCTGTCATTTTTGGCAGAGTCAGCTACAGAAAGTAGATGTCTCACCTTTTCCTTTATATATAACGTTCCTTTATGTCTGAATTTTGGAGTTTTGGTTATGTTTCATAACTTAAAAAGATCATAAAACCTGGATTATTTAAGTGACTCTGTTCTTACCTAATGGAATTACTAGAACTTTTAACCATGGCCAGGAAAAACTAGCTTTATATCGCAGAAGTGAAAGTGCTTTTCAGTTGTGTCTCCAGGATTGTGTGAATTATGCTAATCAACTTTTTATTTGTTCAGTGCAACTCCTTAAATGTAAGAGATACTTCCAGGTCCTCGTCTTGGTCTTTGTAATCCCAAAGTTACGTTACTGGAATCCCATCAAGTTGATTTCAATCTACCACTTTCAATGCAACCCACAGTGAAAATAAAGACACTAAATTATATTTGCAATCATCGGGGAGTCAAGGGGCTCTAAGTCCAGCCATGAAGATGGTTTTCCAGAACCAAGAGAGTGACCCAGGGCCTCACCAGGTTTTATTCAGTGGAGGAGTGGCTTGAGGAAGATTGATTGAGAATTGTGGGAAGTAGGTGACTACTGTGAGCTGAGCTAGGTGGGTGGCCTACATTTACCTCTGCCATATGCAGAGAGGATATGCAGAGAGAGTAATCTGCATTATATAATATTTAATGTTTTGGTAAGTCTGGTGCGTCAGCTTTGATGTAGTCTTTCAAGCCCCAGGAAGTCACAGCCTCTATCTCAAGGCTCAATCCCAGCTGGTGGCACGGAGCATTAGCTCTACTGTCCTGTCTCGACCTGGCTGACATTAAAAAGCAGCAGGTGTAGGTTACCAGGGAAACATGCACGCCACCTTCAAAAACTATCACCAGCACCTCAGCTAGACCAATATACATTGCTTAAGGCCAATTGAAGGATAAACAGAAGTCCTAGCCAGCTCTGTACATAACAGTACGAGGAAATAGGGTCAGGCTCCGTCAAAATGGAGACAGTTCCTCTTCTTTCAAGGAGAGCTGTTCAGGTGGTCCTCCACAATTAAACATGGCTATATTTATGTAATTAAGACTGAATAAACATATATTAAAATGTTAAAAAGTTTGAAAACACATGTGGTAAGTTTTTTCTTGTCAACTTTTTTTTAAATGTATTTAGTACAGGGTCTACATGGTCTCACTACACAGACTGGACTTGTAGTGATCCTGTTTTCAGCCTCCCAAGCACTGGGATTACAGGCCCACGCCACCACGCCCAGTCTCTGTCAAGTCTCAGCACATCCTGGGGGCAGGGCCAGCACAGTATACCAGGGATCTAACCCCAGTCCCTGAGCCTGCCTAGGCAGGTGCTTTAGTCCACTAAGCTATCTGGCTAGCGTGTCAACTTGTTTTCTAAACGTTTCTATGCTGGCATATATTGATTTTTATCATTGTGAAGAAAATATAAAAAAAGCCCTGCATATTTATTTATTTATTTAGCGGAACTGGGGATTGAACTCAGGCCTTTGTGCTTGCCAGGCAAGCACTTATTCCACTGAGCTATCTCCCCGGCCCTGAAACTGCATTATTTTAACACAAGGTCTGCTACATAGGCAGCCAATGTGCCTCAGTTTCTTCTCCTCCCTCTTGGAAGGGGGGTTGCTATGGGCACTGAACTCTGAGGACAATGCCAGAGGGGTAGCACTGTCATCCCACACTGCATTGCTGAGGTTGCTATTTCAGTCAAACAATTAATACAAAACTGAACCCTGGTGAACCCACTGGATGCAATAAATCTGGAAATTACCACACCATAAC